AAAAAAAAAAAAAAAAAAAAAAAAGAAAAAAAAGAAAAATTACATTTTACTATTGTATTTTCTATTTGTTAATTACTTCGGTATTATGTACAAATGAATTACACAGATACCTAAAGTGGGACAAACATGGGAGTAGGTTTTTTAGAGTGAAAATTCTGCCCACAAAGCTGGTTATAAAAGGGAAGGGAAGAAAAAAGAAGGCACATATTTGAGACTCTTTACTACGTCCATCGACCTAAGTACAGATCAAGGATTTGTTTAGAAAAAGTAAAAACTTTTATAACTTACCCTCGATCTTTATTCGCATCTATTCTTAATAAATGTAACCATTGTTCTTTATATGCATTGTGCAACCACTCATGTGGTATTAAATTGTCACTATATAAAATTTTTACATCTTGATCATGTAATAAAAGATATTTCATTCTTAATGCTTTAAAAGGAGCTGCAAATTCTTTGCCTTCTTCTGTTGTAAGAAATGGTTTTGTCCATTTATGATTTCTAAAATATTCATCAATTTGAAGTGTTTCCTCTTTATTGTGTACATGAACAAATAACCTGAAATATTATTTAGAGTTATATAATAGTCCTATTTAGAAATAATTTTGTTTCAGTATTTCACTATTTACCATACTCGTAACATCATATAAATGCAAAATTCTGTTTGCATAGCAATTAAATCGGGACTAGCAATTAATTCAGCCATTAAATCAGGTGTAATTTCTTTTAAAAAAGTTGGATGTAACCATCCATATCCCAAAAGATTAACTTCTAACCATCGTTTTGCTGCTGTTTTTACCACTGGTACACCATAAGATACAGCAGCATTATAATAAGGAACAACTGTTTTTATATTTGTTGTCTCTACCATAATATCTGTACACTGGTCAATTAATCCTTGCAATTGAAATAAGGTGGAGGTAGCCAAAATTGATATGACATCTTTTGGTTCTAAACTAACTTCATCTTGGTAAAAGGAACCAAAAACTGTCAAAAGAGCTAAAAACATATAAGATTAAAAAAAAAAAATATTTTTATCAATTAAAATAAAAAATTTTTAAATAAAATCATTTACAATCTAATGTAATGTTAGGATCAGCAATTTCTACGCTTATAACTGTCTCATTTGCTTCCCTCCAAGATCCTGAAAACATACTTGCAAAATATGGACTCTGTAAAAAAATTTATATATTATAATTTAAAATAAAAAGTAAAAAATATATAAAATTGCATGATATATACAATAAACATTAAAATAAGCAATTTACCTGACTGATATAAACTTTATGTAATCTCCATGCTTTTCCCAACATTAGTACAGTTATGTCACTTCCTTTTTCTTCTTGGAATAATGTTTTATAAATGTATTGTGCTGTTGTCAACAATTTCCTTCTATATGAATTAAAAAAAAATATATTAATTATGATATAATTAATTTATATGTATAAAATTATTTAGATTGAAAGCAATTTTAATAATCAATTGACGACATATATTATTAGATAGCAATTACAAAATTAAGAAGTTATTTTTTTCGATGATGCAAACATTGTTTAATACTATTAAAAATTCAATTGTATAATCAATTATAGTTATCGAATTAAGATTATTTATTCAAAATTGCATACTTTTTTGGTGTTTGAAGAGTGCGATCGATGTAATCCGATTCAGAATCAAAATCATCTTCCTCGATACATTTTCGTTTACGACCGCGATACATGGAATGCATCGCATTGTTTGACATCGATGCAATTTTGCTCACGTAATTTCCCATTGTCTTTGTGTTTCAATGAGCAAAAGAAATTTTCAGTTCGATCACCGACAAATTATTGAATATTCTCAACATTGTTTTTAATACAGGAACTGTATTTTCGCTGCCAGTGCCAGTGTTCAGTACACAGAGGAAAGTCTATGTAGATATCCCTCTTGAAATTGCGCCCACACACGCATACGCACGCATGC